GGCCGGCGGCGCCACTCAGGCGCGCAGCGCTCCCCGCTCCCCCATTGTCCCTCGTACCCCGACCGCGTTCCCTTCCGTGGCGGGCCGAGGAGGCTCCGAGCCCCCAGCCAGGCCTTCCTCGCCCCCTACCGCCCCGGCGGCAGGGGATGTGGGGGTCGCCTCTCAGAGAAGCAAAGTCAGGAGATCCGGGTGGCCGGGCGAGAGCTGTGGAGCCCAGGCTGGTGGCTCCATCGCTCCAGCCTGCTCGCCGGGCGCCGGGGCAGCCGCCGCGGGGCCGGCGGTCTCTGCCACCCTGGTGGCGCGCTCACCCTCACCCTTCAGCGTTCAGCCCCTGCCGGGTGGCGGATTCCGGAGTCTCCACCGCGGTGCAGGATCGTGGGAAGTTGCGCGATCTGTGCGGCGGGGCTGGTGAATTGTTCTTTACCGGGGCGGCGATCTAGACCGACCCGGTTCTGCAGAGGGGTCGCGCGGGTGTAGGGGTAACCGTGGTCTCCTGCTTGTCTGAGCCGAGTGGCTTCCGCTCTGCCCGGCCTCTGCCCGAGTGTTTGGAGAGTGATTGTAGGAGGGTGTGTTTATGTTCACTGAAAACATTCTGTTGCCCAGGGGAAAGGGTTTGGTGGGGAGAAGGTAAGCCGTTTCAGGATGTTCTTTTATCTGTCGGCTGGATTGGGTTTCTTAGAGCGACGGTCCCTGGGTGACCCAACTTGAAGAGTTTTCTTAAACTCTCAGGTTGAAGAGACATTAGGGGTAGTTGTCAAAACAGAGGCAACCCCTGACTCCCAAATTGGAGTTACATTTACCAAAAGCATGTAATTTCTTCATTTCTTGGGTTTCGAAGACGATTTTTGTTTCTGTTGTATCCAAGACCAGCTACATCATTTTGTTGTTGTGTAAAGTGCTTTATTTTAGATAAACTTTTTCACTTGCCCAAAATATACTTAAAAACTCTTAACGTATTTTTAAAGTATTGGGTTGAATATTTCCTGAATGCTTTGGATGAGTATAACCTAATTTGATAATGTAGAAAATTCCTGAATATTTCATGTAGTATATTGTTTCTGTTCTTTTGTTTATTAGTCTGACTCATGATCGCAGAGCCAACCATATTTTTGTCCTGTATTCTACTTAGTCCGAGGTTGATAACTTTGTAGGTAAACTTCTGCTGTAGTTTGTATTATTCATTTGTTAGATAATACATTTTAGATTAAGAGCTTCTAGTAGATGTTTAGTTTTAATATCCATGTGCTAGAGACCTTGTGTAAGAGCCTTTTCATTTAACATGTGTATTTACGTTCTAGATGTGGCTTCCAATAAATCACTTTTCTGTTTTCACTTTTTGTGATTATAATGAGTTAGACACTGATTTCTGTGAGGTAGTAAAAAGTAAGACAAACCCTTGAGGTACTTTAAACTGCTGATGTATATAAACTGTCTTTTGTTTTTAAAGAATGGAACAGTAAGAATAGAAACTGGTCTAGTCTGATGGTTGAAGAAAAAAAAGTGAAGTAACAGCATAATCTTTGTGGGTTAAAACCCTTGTTAAAGAAACACTTTCTTTTTCTTTTTTTAACAGACTTTATTTTTATTTTAAAAAATTTTTATTTATTGGTTTTTAGAGAGAGGAAGGGGGAGAGAGAAAAACATTGATTTGTTGTTCCACTTACTCATGCATTCATTGGTTGATTCTTGTGTGTGCCTTAACAGGGGCTTGAACCTGAAACCTTGGAGTATTTGGACAACTCTCCAACCCACTGAGCTACCTGGCCAGGGCAGATATACCTTTTCTAAATTCAGAACTCTGAAATCATTTATAAAGTATCATTTTGCATTAAACAGTGGTTAAGAGGCTTGTTACACTGTTTGATATTTGTTTTAAGCAGAACTTTTATTAAAAAACTCAAATATTTGATTTTAAAATCAGCATCAAGATTTTAGCTTTTGGGTACATGGAGATATTTATAAGTTTATGGTAATATAGTATACTGTTTTCATCTATTAATCTGAGCTATTTATGATCAAGTTTTTAAGAAGTTTAAATGATGAAATATGTAGGTAGTATGTGTTCAAATGGAATTCTATATTTGTTTTAGTGTATGAGAATACATATGTGTAGATTAGGAGAATTAGTAGGAATACAGATTTAACTTTAAAGTGTAAATCAGTTTTAGATACTTAATAAACCCTTTTAGTTGCTTCCCACTTTCTGATTTATTAATCACTGTTTTGTATTAATTTTTTCTTGCTCTTAATATGATGGACGAGAAAGCTGGAAGAGATAAAGTGTTTAAAATTAAAAATTTAAACTTTCCTTAACGCTGTCCATTTCTAGCACATGTCCCAGCCTATGCTGTATTGTAGGGAGAACTGGGTAAAATTTCTAGAGTTCAGTGTCTATGTAGACATATACTCAAATATATACATAAAATGCTTTTCTTTATTATTTGTAACCACATTAGAAATTTATTGGACTTATTTTTATTAAATATATATATAGCCCAAAGAATTGTTATGTATGTGTGAATATTTTTAACACATATGCTGAGAGTTGATGTCTTTTCTTTTTTAAAAAATTAATTAGTGTGTTTGAGAAGTCAAAAGGTATTTTGGTTGTAGTAGTAACTCCAATTCCATTACGTTTTGGTTTGATGAAATTATACATAAAATGAACTTTAGAGTATGACTTTTTTTAATATTTAAAAACTGGTGTAATTGCTTTGCTTTGTACCATGCATTCTATAGAAATAAGTCTTCTGGAAGTTTGGCCCAAAATATTAAAATTATAGACTATTTCTTTCACTTCTGCTAGCAATTAAGGGTCTATGAAATTAATAAGAGAGAGAGACGTTTTGTCTTTTCTTTAAGGAGCTCTGACTCTATCTTTTTAACTGGAGATTAATAATCTAGTTAGCTGTATCACTTTAAGAAGGCCCATTTCAAGCCATCCCCTAATGAGTGATTTTCAACTAGTGTGCTGCAGAATTTTAGTAATTAGTTTGTATGTGCCATGAGATGAAAAAGGTTGGAAATCGCTGCCCTAATAGCATCTTCTTTGTATTTGTACGGGACCTCCCTGAGTAGCAGGGGTTGAGGGCATTGGACATGGCAGGCACCTCTGTTTTCTGATGTCCTTTTTATAACTTTTAAGATCTTCAAGAGTGTTATTATCTGATATATTTTAAATTTTCTTAAGGACTTGCAGGATCAAGTGGGGGCAGTAAGGACCATTTCTGTATATCTGAGATTGTGTTAGGAGTTTTACTTTTCATCATTTGTGAGAGAGAGGTGATATTTTACAGTTGAAGAAACAGGCTTGAAGAAATAGTTTTTCTAGCATTATCTATTCATGCCCAAGCCAATTTGACCTCAAAGCTTGAGTTTTTTACCCATTACCCGCTCATACCCTTTTGAAAGCAGTTTTCACACATTAGCTCAGAATTGCCCTCTGGACTGAACCACTTTTGACATGTGTTTTCTTTGATTTGTGGTTGTAAGTTTCAACTAGTGATCATCATTGAAAAATCGGGTAATTTCTCAATGAAATTCATGGATTTATTGATTTTTGGGAAGACTTGAAAATCCAGGTACCTACTGGGCTGCATTCCCATTGTTTGGAGCAGAGTGGTAGAGCAGTAGCGGCTCTCTTTAGGTTGTGCTTACCAATCGGTGCAGTTTCTATCATTTCTGTGGGTAATACACTTGGCATACTTCACTCATTTTTGCTATCTGCCTCTGTCCTGTAAGGATGATATTCTCATCTTTGCCTTGACTTTGTCTTTCATAGATGACTCCAAACTTTTAAAAATGTTTTTTCCCCCTGCAACTTCTTATCCAACTTTTAATATATAGAGTGTCCAAAAAAATGTATACACACTTTGAATGATTATAAAGTCAGTGTTTATTAACGTACAGTTCATTTTCAAAATTTAAAAGAATCTACAGAAATGAATAATTTTTTTGTCAGTGCTTGTTTTCAAATTGGTGACAGTTCTGTTCCAGGCACTGCTGATAACAACATCAAGAATCATTTTGTTTAAGATTTGTGTGCCCTCAATTTGTCAACTGTTGCTGGTTTTGTATCGTAAACTTTATCTTTTATGTATCCTTTTGTACTGTACACTTTATCTTTTATGTATCTAGTGGATAAATTTTCTTTGTTCAAAGCTTAGTCTGGTTTCACCCATTATTCCAAATGAAATGGAATGAAAATTAAGTGAGTTATCAGCTGTTAAAGTGTGTATACATTTTTCGGGATACCCTATGTCCTCCCCAAAAATGTGTACACACTTTGAATAATTAGAAAGGCAGTGTTTGTACTTCAACTGCGTTTGCAAACTTCCAGTAACATTTTAGGATGGATTTCCTTTGTTCAAAGCTTAGTCTGGCTGAAAAGAAAGAAACATTAGTTGAGCTATTGGCTGTTAAAGTGTGTACACATGTTTTTGGGACACCTTGTATATTTTTTGTAATTTAAAATTTTTTTTCATAGTCTTAAATTTGTTAATAAAAACTGTCAC